GCGCACCTGTGTGGCCAGGAGGCGGCTCTGGTTTGTATGCAGTATTCCCGCTAAGCTGTACACATGCACAAGTTTAGCAAGTGCTGAGAGAGCCAACTGTCCAGGACAGTCTGCCAAAGGGGCTGCCATGTGTAGGATTTGCTAGAGTCCCACCTGACCTGCCAAAAGCCAGCTGGTCTTATGGAGGCAGTAAATGAGCAGCAGCATCTGGAGAGAGTGAAGGAACTTGAGTTGCAGAGGGAATTGGACAATCAGCTGAGCCAACTGAATATTGGAACGGGGTGTGTCTACTCCACACTGCTGTGTGCTCTCACCACTGCTTGTTCTCCCCCCTCCACCCAATTCTTCCCTCAGAGCCTGCCTTCATCATGCCACTCCAGTGTTCTCCTGTCTGTGGGCAGGGGAAAGAAGGTTGATGTTGGGGTGTCCCTCTCTCCCCCCATCCATGCATTCAGTCTCCAGCTGAGCTGGGATGACAGTACAGGGGGACTCTGTCTGTACTGCTGCCTTTCTGGGTCTGGAACTGGAGATGGTGTTCTGACAGGTGATGCTCCAGAGAGAGCCAGCTCCTTCCCATCAGCATGGGGAAAAACCTTGTGGATTATGAAAGCCACATGGAGGAAATATCCAGACCATGGTCCAATAGTGAACACACCGATCATCATAGCTGAATGTCTCTGTCAGGCTGTGGCAATGGGAACACTCCTATGGGACATGCCCCTCTTCCAGGCAGCAGATGCACTATGGGTGACCATCAGTTACTGGGAAGGTATCCTGGCAGGAAGTACACCTCAAACCTGGAGATCCAGGCAGAAAGTTGAAGGAGAAAGCTTCTCAAAAGGGAAGGACTGGAATCAGGGAAACAAAGTTCTAAGCTACAAGCTAGCAGGGAGGGTAACAAAGGAAAGAGAAGTGTGCTTTGGTTTTTCTTTTTCTTAGGGAGAGGATGAGAAAAGAAAAGTAGTAACTACAGGTTGAACCTCTCTAGTTCTGAACCCTTGGGAAGTGACCAGGGTTAAAAGAGAGAAGTTACCAACCCACGGGAGGTCAATATTGTCTATCAGCGTCACCAACACTCCCACTGCTGACCGGACTCTTAGAAAACATTGAGGGGTATATAAGAGCTAAACAGCAGCACAGGACATTGAGAGCCAGGACTGGTGGCTGTAAAACTTTATGGGACTGTGGGAATCTTGGTCACGCCCATGATAAGTGGGCATCCAGCTACCTAAAATCATGCTGGACCATGGATGTTGCCAGACCAGAGCGTGCAGGACTAGAAAGGTTCAACCTGTACTAAAGTACACTAAAACTTACAGGTAAGGCTGAATAGCTGCAAGGAGAAGCAGGCTCTGCTGTAGATCCTGTCCCAGACCAAGGGGGCAGAGAAGGAACTGGGGGCTAGCTGAACCACACAGCGCTATGTGTACATATGCTGTTCATGATACAAGATTAGGAGGTATGCACATGTAGTCCAACAGGCACTACTGATGAAACTCTCTGATCCCAGGTGTGAGGGCTCCACCATACAAATAGTGGAGCACTCATAAGGACATCACCTGAAGAACAATATTTATCACACTGAAAATAGCAGGAGGGAAAAATCAATGTGTTAAGATAGTCTGTAATTCCTGTATTTATCTACAAGGAATTTATCTACATGCCATTTCCAACTGGAAGAAAAGTGGCCTGGGAGATAATCTGGAAGGGAGATGTGCATAAGACTCTTACTGTGAAGATGTGGTCTACATTGAAGACTAAGAATGCCTTTCAACCACGCACATAAGCAGAACTGGCAAGTACCAGATCACACTCCAACACGTGCATGAAGTGTGATAGGATCATAGGTCTGGGGAGAGGACTTGGGGGAAGCGGTCCAATGTGGGGGGTGGAGCAGGGACAGAGCTTAGAGGAAGAGGTGGATTGAGGGCAAGACCTGGGTGGAGCAAGGGTAGAGTGGACTCCGCACTCCCTCAGGACGGCGCTAGCTAGGTTGAAATACAGGGGCTCTCTTGAAATGATTTTATACTAAGGAAAGTTACATTGTTACTCTAATTAAGCCACAAGGCAGCCTACTATTATAAGATTGATTTTCACCCTCTCTAATGAAAGTTACAATCATTCTGCTCTTTTGAAATTTTAAAGATGTGAAAAACACATCATGTGTTAACTAGCAATTCCACTGCAAATCAAAGTTGCTGAAAAATTATGTTTGCAGACCTTCATTATGAAAAATCCAGTGTCAGATCCACAGCTGATACCAGGATGTTGAATACTAACAGCAAACTGATTTATTGATCATTTCCTAGATTGTAAGTGTTCAATCTGACTCTGTGAAACCTAATGGGAAACAAGATTTTAATTATTCTCCCCATATGTGATAACCTGTCAAATTTCGTGTGAAATTGAATACACTCAAAAGCTCTTTAATCCAGCATTCCAGGGAAACCCTGGGGTGACTCCATGCACCTGATCATGTGGTTTTTACCCACAAAAGCTTATGCCCAAATAAATCTGCTAGTATTTAAGGTGCCACAGGATTCCTCATTGTTTTTGCACGTACAGACTAAAATGGCTACCCCTCAGACATGTCTGAAGGAATGTTGGTTACTGCTGTTATTTTAAAACATTTTAGACAACTAAACAATTAATAAAAATCTAATGTTTTTTCAGTGTTCCTCTCTGCATTTAACAGTGTCTGGAAACACGAATTTCACATCTGTATCATGTACTGACATGAAAACATAATTTTTGTGCCTGCCGTTCTAGAGGTCAGGGGTAGAGAACTCAACTGCATGGCCTTTTCCCTGGGCATTTTGGAGATGGGGAATAAAACGAAGCAAAAGCTACTGTTTTAACATGAATAGATAATCCTGTGGAATAGGATTCTAACCAGAATTACCTCACCAAAGGAGACTTCTCCATCAAGGGGTTATACTCCTTTTAAGAGGGTACCCAGCCTGATCTCTTCCTAGCCCAGACTTTTCCACCAGATCAAGACAGTGCTATGGAAACCATTTCATATTTATCTAGAAGCCATCTCGTATAACAGAAACCATTTCAGCTTCTCGCTTTAGCACGTAGACCAGAGTGAACTTTGTTATCCCGTGAGAGAGGCCTGCAGGATGGGCTACTGGAATGTGTTAATTGGGCTGGCTGAGACAGGAGATGCACTCCCTAGTACCTGCCCGCCATCTTGCTGATAAGGCTTTGTTTTTCCAAGTTTAATTGCTGATTTCTGTAATTGGATGCCCTGACGTCAAACTGTTTGGCTAAGGGTATAAAGATACTAGGATTGACCGTATTAGCAGCCTTATTGGGCCCAGCTCTGCTGGGGTCACATTTGGCTCACTTTGCCTTATTGATCAATAAAGCTGTCTGTTTAGCTGCCTAAACTGAGAGAGGCCTTTGCTTCAACAGTGCTATTTGACCATGCAATGAATGACGTTTTTGTAACTCCATGCACAAGAATCCTACTGGGCTAAAAAGGGTATGAGTGAGCACTTTTATTTTTGAAGCACTGGGCAATTTTTCAGATTTACAGAGTGTGAATGTGACAGCCACTTTCTGAGGGCACACTTATATGCTTTCCCAGTTTAATTGTTCAGTTATGGAGCTGGTCTGAAAGGAAAAACGGGTAGCAGGAGCAACATGGAAGAATTCTTCATAGAGCTTGAGAGAAGCAGCAACTACGTATGGGGTTCAAAATTTCCTGCATGGAGTCAACAGAGCAGGGAGAGCCAATAGAGAGAAAGAAAGAGACTACTTCCCTACATGGAACCTGGGCAAAGGGCAGCAGTAGCAAAGAACTGCTGATATCTGAGTTTTATTAATTCTTCTTTCCCTCACAGCCCAGCCTCTGGTACTTATCACAATTTTTAGAGCCACAAATTCAACATTATGTATTCACTTCTTGATTAAATCAGACAAATGGGCAGGCTGTCAGGAAGGACTATAAACTGTGTTTTACAAGATTTTAGTAACTGACAAGATGCTAAAGAAAATGTATGGCAAATGCAAACACATCAGATTCATATATAATTTTCCCCCCGGTATGAAACCCATTTCAAACATTTCCAAAACAGGATGGAAACTGGCCCAAGATCTGACAGCATGTCACTATAATACCACCGTTGCTAAGCCTATTACAGAAATATGATTACACATAACAGACTTAAATCCGTTTTAAACTTTATTTCCAGTTTATACATTGTGGGAAACTTAACTCTCTCTTGTGGATGTTTTAAAATGCTGTACTAAAAAAAATGGATATAATTTTCAGAGAAGAAACACAGCAATTATAATATTTTACTATGTTTCTACATTTTTCAGTTCTATCAACACTAATAAACTTGAACACAAACATTATTTCCAGCTACAGGTAGTAGTATTTCCACTGCAGGTAGTGTTGGATGCATGAGAAAGTGGCACTGGTTTAACTTAAACTGTTTGTTAAACCTTTATTTTTCAACAGCTATAAACGGTTATTGGACACGTTTCTGTCTAGGAGTGGCACACACTGGTTTGGTTTATATCAGTTTCTAACAGATCTAAACTGGAACATAACACTCAAACCAAACAAGAGTATCCACGCAGCTTTTTCTGACAGGTTTAAGTTATATCATTTAAAATTCACACCTTAAAATTGCTTTCTTACAAAGCCCACCCTATGATGATCTCACAGTAGACCTTCAGGAATGTTGAGTTTGGACATCCTACATCTATACAACAAGCCATTATTTTGACAACATGTTGAAATAACATCGAGCTGGAGGACTTCTTATTCCGACTCCTGTAACCCTCGTCGGAGGAAGAGTGACCTTTCTTGGACTCGTTGCTGTGTAGACAGCACCAAAAGTCAAAATAAGCTATTTCGACTTAACTATGCAATTCGTGTAGCTCAGGTTGCATAGCTTATTTCGGCTTTAGCCCTGCTGTGTAGACATGCTCTGTGCGTTATATCTTCCACTAATTATATTAGAGGTAGATAAGTAGCTTACCAGAATAGAAAGTGTTGATTTTGGCAAGTTCCTTCTCACAGGTTTGGAAGAACTTTTCCTCAAACTTGGCAAAATACCTTTTCACCGTGTCCTCATCTGTGACTGTGAAACAAAAAGAAAAAGTTTACATTAGAATAAAACAAGAGGGCCACAAAATCACATGCCAGTATTAATCTCTGTATTCTTCAGTGGCAAATGTGAAAATATTTCTCCAGAGAACAAGCCATTTTCTCCTGTAGTAATTGGCAGAATGTCAGGAAATATCAAATTCAACGACTCCTTGAGGGGACATAAGCCACACTTGACTGGAATGATTTTTGTTATCTAATTCCAAATCTTTGCACAATGGAGTTTAACAGTGCCCAAAGAAGAGCAGAGAGAGGAAGGAAGATTAATCAAGATAAGCAGTGACACACAAAGTGCAGCTACTGAGCATACAAAGACATATCCCCTTAATTTCACTATCTAGTCTAGTTCATCCCTCTCCCAGCCAAGCACTACTGTTAAATCCCATGCACTCTCATTTCTGGTACCTAAACCAATATCCTGTATGCATACTGCACCTTAGTAACAGATTAGTTGAAAAGACTGCTCTTTTACTCTAGGAATTCATGCTGGATTTTGTGTCAGTCCATAAAGGAAATCAATTTAAGGATGAGTTAGAGGTAGACTGGTAAGATTTTGGTTTATAGATTTTATTTGGAGCAAATTCAATCTTATCATTTATTATCTATTTCTTTGGCGAAAAGAGTGAAGTAAGCAGCGGGTTTCTAAAATACGGGACTTTTTGCAAGCAGATAAGAAAAAAGAAGAGCTGATTATAAACAATCCCTGTTTTTTTATATATATATATATATATATCTCAAACTTCAGTCAGTGCTTCTGATACAAGCCTGGCCAAAGTGTTTAATAAAATACAGGGGTGATTCCCAAGCACGTTTAGTACATCTGAAAGCCAAGGTACAGCACAGACAGAAGTAGTTGTACATATTTCAAGTACTGTATTTCTGTCAATGTTTTACCATTACATTCCTACATTTTTGAGGAGTAACTTCAGTTTGCACTATGCTGGAATTGGTTTACAAATTCTCCGTGAAGAAGAGATGCTGATATTACCATTTTTAAAAAGAAGTTACTCAAATTAGCATTATTTACATCTATACTGATTTGCAAAACACTAATCTGTATTTCAAACACAAGTCTCCGACTCTTACACAGAGGGCCAAATGTAATTTTCTGTTAGCATCCGTGGGTTGCAGCACCTGCCTGCCTTCCTTCCACTTGGAAATATTCTGCCTCAAAATATCTTCCAGTCATGTGGGGAAAAACAGTACTGTATCTTTCCCCTGGCCACCACAGACTTCCTCTTTACACTGCTGGTATTGTACTACTTCTTTACCTGTTCATATTCTCCCTCCTCAATTATATGTTGTTCATCTTTTCCCATCCTCCCCAGATCTCTCTCTCTGATTCATTCTGTTGTGCTGTCCCAGCAGGCTTCCATTTCAAACTTGCACAATGTTTCATTTTGAAACCAACCAAAGATTCAGTCTTATTTTGAATCACAGGTAGAGGTGGCAGCTCTCTACTGCCTTTCAAAACAATTCACTGTGGCCACATACAGTAATTCCTCATTTAACACGTGCTTAACACGTTTTCACGATAGCATGTTTTTTTAGGGAACATTTTGTGAATTACACGACCGTCCCCGGAATAACACGATTTCCCTAGCCGGCCCGTTGCTGGCGGCTGCGCAGGGCTTCCCCTGCCTCCCTGCTAAGTGGCGGAGGGTTTCCCACTCTCCACGCTGCTCCCAGCTGACTCCCCCTCGCCGGACGCCTTGCCCTCTCTCCTCCGCCCCCGCTTGCAGGCAGGTGGCAGGGTTTCCCCAAACCGGCCCCTCGCTGGCACAGGGCTTTCCCCGCCTCCCTGCAAAGCGGCAGAGGGTTCGCTGCGCCATTCCCCGGCAACCCCGCCCCCTCTCGCAGGACGCAATGCGGGTCCCAGCAGACCCGTCACGAGCATACTCCAATCCCCCTCCCTTCTCCTCTTTCCTTCCCCATAGCCAAACACCAGCCCTCCCTGCTGTAACCCAGTCCCCTTTTTCCCCCAACGTTATATCCTGGTCCCAACAGACACCACCGCTTGAAAAACAACCCCCGCCTTTTCCATTATTTTCAATGGGAAAATTGACCCCGCATAACACGTTTTCACTTAAAACGATCATTTTCTGAAACATATCTATAGTGCTAAATGAGGAATTACTCTATTTCAGAGTCTGAGGTAATTAATTCCATGCTAGGGAAACAACAGTACATAAATTCCTAGGAGCCATTTTTCGTTAGTATTGGCATGAAGTAATAAGAAAGGAACAATTATGCCTTATCTCAGTCTCTCTGCTTGTCTGCTAAGGACTAGCAGAGGAAAACAAACCTTGAAAATAAAGCTGCGCTAAGATTCTAAAAATCACATCACAAATGCAGGTCACAATTTAGACACAAAATGGTTGCATCCAGTGAAAGGAAGGCTATACAAATGCCACAAAATATCTTCACCGATTGTTGAAGATTTCTTTTAAAACCCTACTTCACAGGCTTCCGACTGAAGTGGATGCTGGAGGCTTTTAAAAAAAAAAAAAAAAAATCAGCCCTCCCCCCCCTCCCCCCCCGGGGCAACAAAATATTTCCTTTCCGTTCAATTTTTCACAACAGTTCAGTAATTTAACTGCAATAATAACCTAATTCTGCCCAAGGCTATTGCATATTTTTTTCAAAGCTAAACAGGACAAGGTTTTCTGCCATGTGAAAGCCATGATGCCAGAAGCTGGCCTTGGGTTAAAAAGCTCCATGACAACAGAAACTGCTTTTACAAGGCACCTAGCTATAGCTGCCAAAAAGGACCAGCAGCAGCTTTGCTCTATGCTTTTTTTCTAGAGCCCTAATGGCTGTTTTGTTCTTATCCCCATGGTGCTGCCATGAAACTGGTTGCTAAAATGAAACTCCTATCAGCATGATAATCTCTCAACTGTATTTCACAGCTCCCTATTTCAGGGGTATGGGCAAAGAACAGAAATTTGATAGAAAACTGTATGGATTTCCATGTTTGCAATTCAAAGAAAGTAAACACTTGCAAAACCAAAAGTGAAAGAGAACTCTATGCACCTTCTGACACACCCACACATTTCAGTTTTTGTTGCTCTTTGAGCTCAGACACCAGCTGAGAGAAGGAAAAAGCATGATAGCTATTAGTACACAAATTCCTCTCACATTTATTATCCGAGTTAAAATATTTTCAGTGCATTTGTAAGCAATTAGTTTAATGGATTGACTTCTGGCAGCTGTACACTGTAGCTACTAATTGCAAGAGAAGGAGATAGGTTTGCCTGTCAGTTTCACAGATGTTAATGGATATAGTGTAGCTTTTCTGCTTTCCTTCCACAGCAGTTGCCTTAATATAAAATGCAACAATGAGACTCCCTTATGTCCCTACCTGGCTGACATTTAGTGGCAAACTATTTAGAGTAATTTGGCCTCACAGCCTTATCAAGACCAAATTATCTGTCAAACAACAAAGAGTTCCATTCAGAAAGTCATCACTATATATGTCCAAACACGCTGTCCATGCATACTTTCTTGAAGACCAGAATTTAAGAATTTTAAACTGCTGCTCATTTTAATGGAAACATCTAGCTCTTCCACAGGCCTGAAAGGTCTCCAGAGGTGGCAGAAACTAACTGCTCCTCCCAGCTGCCAAATCCTCCTGGCTCCCTACTGGCAGTTAGACAATACAGTAATGATTTATCAATACAAAAGTTTCTGAAACTACTTCTCAGGGACTGAAATAATGATTAGATAAAATACGTATTAAAACACTATACAAACAAATCAAAAAAGAATATTATGATTGCAAAGTCAAGGTGTGAGAGATGGAGATTGGTTAAAATGCTAGACAAGAACTATGCACGTTTGATAATAAATGCCTATACAAATTTAGGGCATGTGTTAGAATGAATTCCTCATCAATGACAAGATGTGGGAAATTATCATCAGCTCATTTCCACTAGAATGAGGGGAAAGTGCTACACATGTTCGAGGCATGTACTTCAGATGTCAACATACAGACTCCGCCCCCATGAAGCTGTCAAGTGAAAACCAACCGCTGTGAGGAAATAAAGAAACCTATGAGAAACGTTAAGAACTACACTAGCAGGAAGGTGATCTCAATACCATGGAGCAAATGGAAACAGCAACTGACAGACATAAAATGGACTTGTTTCAGGACTGCATACCAACATTGATGCAGGACAGGTGTTCAAAAAAGAAAAGCACTCAATTAGGAAATGCACAAATTGAAGTCATCTGTACAATCTTGATTTCTCCTCATGTGTATTTGTTATGACAGCCTTCAATTACAAAAAGCTTTTCCCCACACAGCCACTGACTCATTTAGTGTACAGAATTAGTTTTGTCATCTGCAAATTTTGACACTACACAACCTACTCTTGTTCCAGCTCATTGGGAAATGTATTAAATATCACTTGTCTTAGTTACAGAAACTTACAGCACTCTACTGTTGACCTTGTGTGATTTTGAAAAACAACCACTAATTTCTACTCTTTTTTCTGTTTTAACAAGTTTCTGATGTGACAGTACTTAGTTTCTCATGCCATGATTACAGTACATAGTTTCGTTAGTAGTGTCTTGTTTAGGAATTTTTCAAAAGCCCTTTGAAATTCTACAAAGTTAAGAAAACCTATAGATCCTCCAACATATCAACAGACTTCACTAATATTAAGATTACTGACTGATTACATATGCAGCCCACATCTTGCTTTGTTACCAATCAAGGTGTGAACACAAATGCACCATCATTTTCCAGACAGCAGGAAGCCTAAAGCATGAGAATATATTTTAGCTAGCTCAGAACTGCAGATGTGGAGAGGTGGGGGGAAAAAGGATAGCTGATCCGGGGCCCAGTGGTTTAAAAGGGCCCAGGGCTTCCTGCCACCTTTACCATGGCAGCAGCAGCAGCCAGAGCCCCAGAGTTTTTAAATGATTGCTGGTGCCCAGGATGGCCTGGTGTGATCGGTGCTATGGGAGGCT